CTAGTCGTCTTCCTGTTTCGCCGATGTATAACTTTTTGCAATAAGTGCAAGTTATGCAATAGATAACGTTGGCGGAGGTGCACTTGAAGTGATCGGTGATCTTAATGGATCGCATGGGTCCCGATATTTTCTCAGCGTTGTGAATGAAGGGACAAGTTTTGCATCGTGCGCGAGCGCATTTAAAAGTGCCGGGTTGGTCATTAGTTTGGAATGAACTTCTGACCAAAAAATTGCCTATGTTTTTGTCGCGTTTGAATGAAATAAGTGGAGGTTGCGAAAAGATAGTGCCAGTCTCTGGATCGTTTTGAAGTAATTTAATTTTTTGAAGAAAATCTATAACATTTGCCAGATCGACAGTAGCATCTGAACAGGCTCTTAAGTCGAAGACGGTACGAAAAGGAAAGCGGGAGGAAAAACAGCGATGACGGGGAATGGGTAAGGAAGAGGGCGCTCCCCCTTCCTTACCACTCCCTTACAAGCTACTTCATTCGGAGTTAATTCCAACTGCCGTTAGGGGACTGTTGACAAGCTCTATCGACAGTCAGGCACGTGTGGTTAATGAGGTTTTTTATTAGCGTAGTAATCTGCCAAAAGATTTTGCATGGATTACATAAAGTACTACCCACGCTCCTGCTACCTCGCTAGTCATTTTCTTTTTAATTTCTATGATTACTAAACTTTGTTTCTATAGGAAAATTAACGTGAAATAAGAAATCCGGCTTTTTCTGATAGAGAGGCTACAGTGTAAACTCCTCCAACAAAAATGAAATATATGTTTACGTTGCGTAAGTATTTGAATGAAAATAAAGCCTTGGAAAAGTCTTACATTTCAATCAAAACAATTAACAAAGTCATGGTGCGAAAAGGTCACAAAACTCAACTCAACTCCGAAAGAGAGTCCACGTCAATCGCAGTGTCAAGTTCAAGGTCTCTAAACGTGACTTGTTAACTGATCAGGTCACGTTGTCGCGCACGAATATTCCAAAATACCAAGAAGGAGAGAAAGAGAAAACTGCCTCGAAATAAGTTCAAGATTGGATTTAATTTGTAGCTATAGTTAGCTGGTAGAGCGGAGTTCAAGGTAACTGATCATGGGCTTAGCTCTATTGGTAGACTTTGGCTGAAGAAAACGACTAAAATCTCCCTGTCTCGAACGACCAAAAAAAATTAAAACGAAAAATGCGCTCGGGGGGGCTGTTTTCAACCGAGACGGAGGTGATTTGTTTTACGACCCCATTTTCTTAAAAAAAAACTGTCTGGAAAACTTGGCCTAAAGAGGACATGCTACATTTTATCGCGCAATAGAACTAAAAGATGGCGTGATTAATTTTTCTTTATCGCGCGATTATTCAATTATTATATAGGTGGCAGCACCAGCGGCAAAAGAGACGCGAATCCTATGTTCTGATTGGCTACCCGAGCGGGCAGGGCAAGATGGGCCCATCTTACCCGCTCAGGACTGCCCGCTTTGATCCCGCGCAGGAGAAAAAGTGGGTGGGGCGGACTTTAGAGTTTGTAACTTTTTGACAGTGTTGGCGACGAGGTCGCTATAAGTAGCAGAAGAAACAATCAAAGCAAAAAAAGAATTAAACGAGCCTCGTGGGCACACTGTGCTACAAACACAGTTGGCTTTCTTTCCCGGCTCTCGAAATAAACAAGTCATTATTTATCCTTAGTAATTTTCAAAGTGAAATATTTTATCCATATACTGAATCCTTTATTGACCAAGCTTGTTCGGTCAAGATGGCTGGATATTATCCTCGTTCTTTTATTTCGTTTTTATGGACCTCAACCTCGTCTCAGTGCATAAAAACGCGAAATAAGAACTGGGCCAACATCCAGTCATCTTGACCTCAAGCGTGGTCAATAACGCGTATCACAGGGTCGTCAGATGCTCATAAAGAATCGACCGCGCGATAATTTAGAATTCATCGCGCCATAGTTTTTCACATATCACGATATGATTTCGATTTCTCGCACGATCTTTTGCTTTTATCTAGCGATAAATGAGATTTATGGCGCGATAAAATTGAATTTAAAAAGTGGATAGCCTGTCGTCTATGGGCCACAGTATGTTTTTGCCTAGAGGAGAAGGAAGAAATAAAACGAGAATACTCGCCCCATCGACTTGCACGAGTACAGTAGAGTAGTAGATCAGTATACATGCCACAGGGCTATTAAAGTTGTGACTGAATTTTTTTTTTTTTCCCCTCAGGGCACAAAGATGGTGTCTGGGAAATCGCCGTCGTTAATTTAGCAGTGGCTAAGAAGAAGGTTGAAAAACTGTTAATTCACATATTCATTTCAACAATAATTAAGAAACTCCTTCCTGGATTGCCCGAGCTATTCCTCTCAACTGAGGCCTTTGATCTATTGTCGGATTTTAAACCAAAAAGGTTTTGATTTATGAATAAATCAATATCATTACTTCACGATCTCTGGGTCGTCTTTTCATGTGTAACACCCTCATTCATTTGCGTATAACTTCTTTAACTTAATCTCTCTGGCTTTTATGGTTTGATGCTCAATCTA